AGCCTGTTTTATGTTTTGGTCTTTTCCTCATGTGCCCCATAGTTAGTATGCACTCCATTTTCCTGGTTCTCTTTTTAAATTTTACATTATTTCATTATGGTCTTTCTAGATTTCTTTGTACTCCTCATTCTTGTCTGCCTGAATTGTGTTATGGTATTGTATTACACAAATGTACCATAATTTATTTAACTACTACCTCAGTATTTAAGAATTATGTTTTTTCTTAATATAAGAATGAATTTCCTGACAATTAGAACTTTCCAAAAATGAAATGAACTGCCTCATGAGGAAATCAACTTCCTAACACCAAATAATGGAAAACAATTTATCAGGGATATCATAGAGGGGATTCCTATTCACATACAATGGAAAGAACAATGGATTTGGGGTCAGAACACCTGGATTCCAATCTTGCCTCTCTCATCACCTGTGAAACCTTGATTAAGGCACATAATCTCTAAGACATAACATCAAACTTGCTAGCTACCCACAAAATTCTGAGTGCTAATAAAATTCAACATGGATAGTGTTAATTTATGGTTTTCTATGTCAATACGGTGGGGCAGCCAGGTGACTCAGCAGATAGAGTGTTAGGCCTGAGGTCAGGAAGACCTGAGTTCAAATCTAGCCTCAATCATTTCCTTAACCATGCTTGCCTCAGTTTCTTCATATATAAAATGATCTGGAGAAATGGCAAACCACTCCAGCATCTTTGCAAGAAAACCCCAAATGGGGTCGCAAAGAGTAGGACACAACTAAAATGACTGAGCAATAAATGTCAATATAGGACCTGCTGGGATGCATTTCTATTTGAATTTGACACCACTGTTAGTGGACTCAGATTCCTCATCTGTAAAAAGAGGGAGTTGAATTAGATGCATCTAAGGACTCTTCCAACTCTAAATCTATAATCCACAATCTGTAAGGAGGGTTAATCAGGACTGCCTAACCCGTACCATCAAAGAGCTTCCCTCTTGACCTATAGAGTATAGATATGCCCACTGGCGCCTTGTTAGGAAGATAGATACTCTGTGAATAGGTCTTAGTGACCTGGAGCTATCCCAGGGTGAACTGGCTAGTTTGAAGCTACCCCCTAAGGGCTCTTTTTTCCCCTTTTATTTTCATGGCATCAGGATCCCCATGCCAAGATCACGCTCTTCTTTTTACTCCTCTCTTTCCACCATTTGGAGATACTCTGTTTTCCAGATCTAAGGCCAAGCAAGCAAGCTGTGCCCCGAGCTTGGCATAACAACAATCCTTTGTGCTCACCCTCTGGATGATCTCAGCCACAGCAAAACCCCAGAACTGTTTCATATCAGCCCAGGTGGTCCCTGAGCTGAGACAAGCACCCGCTTGTTCAGATCATGTTCTGGTCATGAAACTCTGCTATGAATCAAACTCACCTCATTGTTACTGTTACCCCCTCACTGTCACAGCTAAAGCTCACTGAGTGTTCCTTTGTCTAGCCACTAGTATATGTACCACGGTTTGGCCTTGCTACAGTGGGCCTCCTCCTAGAGCAGACCCCAACACACGTATCTAGTTTTCTTTCTCCGACAGAATAAAGAATGCTTTGTTTTTGCTTATAACCACTGTTAGCTCTTTGGTTTTATTTTGTTTTATTTTTCAGAGTTAACAGTCAAGGTATTAACTCTGTGAGTTCTTTGGTATTTTTCGGAATTAACAGTGGTCATATAACCTCTGTCACTCTTTAGGCATTTATTTTCAGGGTTTGACAATTGTTACAATAAATATTTATTAAGCAGAATGATGTGTTAGATGCTGGGGGATATATGAAGTTTGTTTGGTTTTGGTGAGGCAATCGGGTTAAGTGACTTGCCCAGGGTCACACAGCTAGTAAATTATATGAAGTTTAAATATAAGATGGTCCCTGCCTACAATAAATAACAATAATTGATGTTTATATAGTATTTTATTTGCATTTTTCCATTTGATTTTCTTGTTTTGAAGTTGGGACACAGGTACTTAGTAATTATTAAATTGAAGCTGTAGCTAAATCATCTTATTGATGAACCCACCGTATTGAATCATAAAATACTTTGAGCAGAAGAGAACTTAGAGGTCACCTAGTCTAACTTCTATGTGATGCTTGAATCCCTTTTGTTATTGTTCAGTCATGTCCAACCCTTCATATCCTCATTTAGGGTTCTCTTGACAAAGATAGTGGACTGGTTTGCCATTTCCTTCTCCAGCTTATTTTACTCCTTTTAGTCCTTTCCTTCTCCAGCTCAGTTTACATTAAGGAAACTGAGGCAAACGGGGTTAAGTGACTTGCCCAGGGTCACACAGTTAATAAGTGTCTGAGGTCAGATTTGAACTCAGGAGTCAGGAGTCTTCCTGACTCCAGGCCTGGCACTCTATTCACTGCACCGCCTAGCTGCTCCTTTGGATCCCTTCCAAAATATACTCAACTAGTAGTCATCGACACTCCTCTTGAAGACCTCCAATGATGAAGAACTCATTACTCATCAAAGGGTCCCATTCTATATATGTAAACATTGGAACAATTACGAAATGTTCAAGAGGAAAAATGGTTTCATTGAAACCATTGTATATTCATTGAAACCTCTTGTATATGTCTGACAAGCTGTTTGAGTTTTTGCTCATCATATTTTATTTTCAGTTGCAAATTCTATCCCCCCTCACTTCCTCCTCTAGGGGTTTCTTGGGGGTTGATTTTCAATGACTAGGACTAGTCCCAAGATAGGGCTGATTGAGACCCTCGAAAGGACAGACCTTGGTCAGAGTTACTGCTCCTCTGTACCAGCCTATAAAATACAGCTGAAAGACCACTCTTGTCCCCCTTTCCTTTTTTTCTACTTTTCCCTTACAAAAAAATTCTGGCAAACATCAAGTTGCATGTGGTGAGTTGCATATTATTATCTAGGGGACCTGAGAGGGGAATTCTTAGACATTAGGATCTCAGAGTCCTGCCCAAATTCTACCTATTTCCCTTTCCTGAGTATAGGCAAGAAACCAGGGAACTGGAAGCAACTTTTTCCAAACTAAGAGAAGTCAGTGGCATTGAGGCAATGGTAAAGAAGAAGTCACGGAAACAAACATGTGCTTGCCCAGGCACCTGGAGAGACTCGCTTGTGAGCAATGTTCCTGAACTCCACACTCCTGAATAGAAAAGGGGGAAATAAAAAATTTGCTAGGCATGATGATTCTGGAATCATCCCCCAGAAAATGGAGATTCCTTGCACAGAATCAACAGCAGCTTTGGGTGTAGTCTTGAGAGAAAAGCCAAGTAATCAAGAACTCAGAAATTCAGTCAACAGACGTTTGTTACTATTGCATGCGCCAGGCACTATGCTGGGCATTGGGATGTTAAGACAGAAGTAAAATGATCTCAGCCCTGAAGGTACTTATGTTCTATCAGGGGAAACAGCATTACATATACAGGTATATGCAAAATATACACAAAACGAAGGCCAACTGCTGAGGGGCATTAGGAAAGGTACCCTGTAGAAGATGGCACTTGAGATGCATTTTGAAGGATTCTAAAAGATGGAGATGAGAAGGGAATGCATGCCAGGCATGAGGAACAGCTAGTGGAAAGTATACAGCCTGGAAATGGAGAGCAATGTGTGTTTAATAAGAAGAAGGTCAGTAAGAAAGCTGACCTTTGAGGGAAGTTCGGGTCAGTGAGCAGCTTACCTCTTGGAAAAGAAAAAGAGGATTGCTCACAAGACCCACATACCCAAGGGAGCTGCAGGAAAGAGACTGAAGCCATGACATAGGGGAGCAAGAAATCAGGACCTTAACCACATTTGGAGATTTCCCAGGTAAACTTTAATGGGGGGGGTTAATGAGCCAAAGAGATAAAATGACCCTTTCATGTCAGCCCCTAGCATTGAATCCATCCTATATGAGCCTAGAGCTTGGCAGGGGAAGCCAAAGGGAAAGAAGAGTCTGAGCCACAAGTTACGTGTAGACTGGATTAGATGTCCGAGGCCCCTTCTAGCTCTGGAACTCTACAACTATAAGCCAACACTCACTTGTCACTGTTGTTGTTTGTCCTTCATTCTCAAAGAGGACCAATGCCATCATGAGGGAGATGTCTTGACTGGCAGGTGAATTGGATCTGGGTGAGGCGGAGCTGTGCAAAGCCATCAGCCTCACTGTCTCCTCCAGAGTCAGTGGAGTAAGTGGCAAGACAAAAGTCAAGAGGATTGGCTACGGCCCAGGATTCAGTGGGTGATCTTGGCCTTTTTTAAACTAAGGTCTCAGTTTGTCCAAGGACAGCCCCCTGAGAATCAAGCTTGTCAGGAAGAGAATCAGAAGCTTCAGGAAAGGAAACAGGAAGGTGGCATGGGAGAAAAGAGGCTGAGAGAAATATTAAAGGGGGAGGTGGGAGAGTGTCCAAGGCAAATTAAGCTAATATCTCAATTTTGCTCAAGTTCCTAATAAAATTAAGAGAAAATGAATCCTGTGTTTTCAACACTGACAAACAAAAACTTTGCACCCCACAAGGAGATCATTTGCAGCCTGAGTTTAATATCCATGCTCTTTTAATATGCCTGACTCAATTAAATTGTTCTATTTGCTAGGTTATAATGTGCTTCTAATAGCCACAGGCATTTTCTCCTCAACAAGATTTTTTTCCCCTCCCTCCCAAACTGCTCTCTTCAGGCAATTTTAAACTAAAGACTCTATTCTCTCAATGCTCATTATATGACCATTTCAATATTACATCTTAGCCTTTGGAGCATATACAGACTCAGAGCCTTATGACCTAGACCAAGGATAGGGAGCTTTTGGCTTTGAGGTCCTCTAGTGTGGCCCTTCGACTGAATCCAAACTTCATAGAACAAATCCCCTTAATAAAAAGATTTGTTCTGTAAAACATGGACTCAGTCAAAAGGCCACACCCAAAGACCTAGAAGGCCACCTGGAGTCTTGAGGTCACAGGTTCCCCACCCCTGCCCTAGATTCCCTTCATGAGACACAGCTGTCACAATGGATGGCATACTTACTGAGATTTTGATGATTTTGTCAAAAAGATGCACTTGGGGCCCGATGAAGTCGAACACGAAATACTGTTTGAAAAAATGATATATGCATTGGTGACTGGAAGCAGATAATCTTTGGTCCCAATCTGAGATATATCCATGAACTTACCAGGACATGCAGCTGAGAAGAGTAGCATTTCTTTACAGCTAAAAGAGCATTGAATTTGGAATAGAAAACCTAAGCTTGATTCTCAGCTCAGCTCGGCCATTTGCTAGTTATATGAGCTTGGACAAAGTGCTTGGTTTCCTCATCTTCTGAGGATCCTCTGAGATCCTGTCCAGCTCTAGATTTATGATCCTATGATTTTTAAAGGAAATTAATTTATTCACATGGAGTAGTAGATCAAATGTTGAGCTTGGAGTCAGCAAAACTCATTTCAACTCCTGCCTCATATTTACTGTATGCCATTTAACTTTTCTCTCTCTCAATTTCTTCAACTGTACAAGGAAGTGGTTGGACATGATGGCCTCAAAGGTTCCTTCCATCTCTAAATCTGTGATGTTTTGGGAGGGAAAAATTGTCATCCTTAAAGTTATCATGGAGGATGAGGGTCTCCTACAACCTATCCTTTTATGCCCTGCTAGAAATAGAATCTTGGCCAAGATGGAGTGTGAGTCTTCTTCTATTTGACATTTTGCTTATTTGTTGTTGTTTTCTTAATTATATGGCCATGCTTTGTTTTCTGCCCAATGTTGTATCATAATTTTAATAACATGATGGAATATAATGATAACAATATATAATATAATATACAATATATGATGATGATAATATAATGATAATAATGGCATCCAGCATTTATATATTTCTTTAAGGTTTGCAAAGTGCTTTACAAATATCGTTATCATTTTATCCTTAAAATGACTCTGAGGGGGTACTATATTATCCCCATTTTACAGATGAGGAAATTGAGACAGATAGATGTTAATTAATTGTGACTTGCCCAGGGTCACATAGCAAAGAAATGTCTAAGGTAGGATTTGAACTCAATTCTTCCTAAATTTAGATCCAGCACTCTACCTACTACACCATCTAGCTATCTGATTACTCTACCTTTCATTAATTTGTTGTTGTTCAGTGGTTTCAGCTATCTCTTAATTTTCATGATCCCATTTGGAGTTTTCTTGGCAAAGATACTGGAGTGGTTTGCCATTTCCTTCTCCAGTTCATTTTACAGATAAGGAAACTGAGGCAAGTGGGGTTAAGTGACTTGAACCAGGGTTATCCAGCTAGTAAATGTCTGAGGCCACATTTGAACTCAGGAAGATGAGTCTTCCTGACTCCAGGCTTGGTGCACTCTATCTGCTATGGCGCCTCCTAGCTTCCATTATAACAACTCACACATGGTGTTTCAAGGTTTACAAAGTAGTTCCCTCATAAGAACTGTGTGAGGTAGGTGGTACAGGTATTATTAACTCCATTTTGGAGATAAAGAAATTATGGCTCTTTTGAAGTCAGGCTCGAAGAGACATTAGAGATTCTCTAATGATAGGATCAGAGTCCATCTAGTCCAATGCCCTTATTTACAAATAAGAGAAGTGAGACTCAGAGGTTGTGACTTGGCCAAGGTCACACAAGCCTTGGCAGTGGCGAGGTATGACCCTGGATTTCTGGCTCTTTCCACCATGTCACAATGCCTCCCTTTCTAGACAAATCAATAGGGTTGAAGTGGTTTGCTCAAAGCCACACAGATTATAAATTGAAGAGGCGTATTTTAAATCCAAGTCCTCTGAACCCAAATCTAGTGCTCCCGACACTATAGCATGCTCCTTTCTTATTGGGGATTTATTTCCAGTTAATATTTCTAGCCACTGTGCTTTAGAATGAGGCGCAGAATAAATCCTCAGCCAACCCAGAGACTTAGAGATTTTAATCTTCCCCCATCACTCCGAGGCTTGGCTCTCTGGGCTTCATCTTGCCATGCCTTGATATTGCCTCAGGCTTATCTGGGCAGGAGCTACCTAGAGCTATGAGCATGGACAGCAAATTACCACGGGCATTATACAAGCAGTCCCTTGAAATGACTCAACTGCTCGTAAATGCTTTCAGTTTTACATTCAGAAGGCTAAGCCTCCACAGCAAAAGACAAGTGACCCTTCCCCTCGGCCTTTTTAGAGGGGATGGTTTTCAAAGGCATAGGGATAGGCAACTGCCTCATTATTTATGGGCTTATTCTTGAGTAGTAGAGGCTAAGCCAGCAGACTTAGAGTTCATCACCTGATACTACACAAAGCCTTTCTGTCATAACTCAGAATGATCTTTTGCCATATCCACTGGAGTTAGGTGGCACAGTAGACGGAGCAGTGGACCTGAATCAGGAAGATCTGTGTTCAAAATCCAGCCTCAGACACTGATGTTGGAGACTTCATGGGTCAAAGCTGGAAGGCATCTCAGAAGCCATCTCATTAAACCATCCTCAGTTGAGGTTAATCACCCTGAGGTCCAGGGTGATTAAAGGATATCGGCCTCAGAAGCAGATTTTGAACCCAGGCCCTCTGATGCTAGAACCATGATTCTTCCCACTGGACCACACTGCCTTCCTTGAGGGTACTCCTTCTGCCAATGTAGATTGCAACCCTTCTATAATTTAGTGGCGGGTCCTGAAGAGATAAAATTCATCACCTTGTGACCAATCTGGTGGCGAGTATCTCTGAATGTAGCTAGGCTGCTTCCCAGGCAGCAGATCTGCAGTTTATCACCTGGGTCCTACATAAAACCTTTCTGTCGTAACTCAGAATTTTCCTTTGCCTTGTCCACTGCAGCTTGGTGTCACAGTGGACAGACCACTGGACCTGAAACCAGGAAGATCTGGGTTCAAAACCATCCTCAAATATTTATCAGCTATGTGACCCTAGGCAAGTCACTTAACCTCCAGCTGCCTGAGTTCCCTCACTCATAAAATGGGGATAATAATACCACCCACCTCCCAGGGTTGTTGTGAGGATCAAATGAGATATTTGTAAAGCACTTTGCAAGCCTTAACACACTATGTGCATTCTAGCTATTGTTATTAAATATTATTATTACTGTCAATTTAGTTTTCCAGAAGCTGGCAAGAGAACTAGCTAGGTCATGTTGGTGGAAGAAGTCAGAGCCAGAACATCAAAGTTCCAGCCTCAGTTACCAGCTGTATGTCCTTGGTCAAAACACCTCATCTCTTGGGGCCTCAATTTTTCCATCTGTAAAATGAGAGAATTGAACCAGATAGTTTCTGCAGTCCTGGTTTGCTCTTACAAGCTGATTCTGTATACATTCTTGGATATTCTTCCTTTTTCCTCTTGCTTACATTTCATTGTTCACAGTATCCCAGAAGGCAGTCGGATATGGGGAAGGAGAGGAATCACCAATCAGTCATTTTTACTCCACTTTTGGGAGAGATGATGGTACAGTGGATAAGAAATTGAAAAAATTAGCTTAAGTGGGATTTGTGGATTTGACTGTCTTTTCCCTATTTTTCTGGTCCTGTTTCCCTTTACTTAATTAAGAATTATTGATCTGTAGATTGTTAGAAGTAGACGGAACCTTAGTCCATCTAAAAACATCTGACCTAACCTCTTAACTTTTCAGATGAGGAATCTGGGGTTGATAAAATTAAATTGTGACTCAAACAAGGTCACATGTTACTGAGTCACAGCGCCACACCATTTAAACCCAGGTGTTTTGACTCTAAGACCGGGATGATTTCCACTGCTAGGCAAGGAAGGAGGGAGAAAGAGAATTAAGGATTACTCAAGAATGACTTACTTCATTGTAAAAGGGGCTATTTGTTCCTTCTTTGACTGTTGTTTGCTTCTTCTCATCCCCAATCTCAATGATGACCACTGGATCGATGTTTTCTCCCACCAGTTGTCGGGCTTCAGTGATGGTTATGGCAATCTGCAATGCAAAGGCATGGCTCCTGTCATTCCAGCGGTCACTGTCCATTTCTGTAACCTGAGAAATTAGATACACTGTGTACTCACTTGATAACTTTGGGATTTGGCTTCACCATCATGGATCTTTGTCACCAATTTAGATCTGTTAAAAGGAGGGAAGGAAAGGTTGGCTTCAAGAAATGAAGACATACCTTTAGTTCCTTAATAACAATAGCAGTAGTAGTAGTAGTACTAGTAATAGCTAATATTAATATAATACTTTAAGGTTAATAAAGTACTTTATGTATTATATACGAGTATGTACAGATACATGCATATGTAAACTTTTCAGTCTTAATTTCCACATCTGTAAAATAGAGCATCTACCTCACAGAGTTATGAAGATCAAGTCAAATTAACAAATGCTCTCTGTTTCTCTCTCTCTCTCTCTCTCTCCCAGCCCCCACATTCTCTCCATTTACACACACACACACACACACACACACACACACACACACACACGTACTTATTTTGGTGGTGTTCAGTCATCAGTCATGTCCAACTCTTCATGATCGCATTTGGGGTTTTCTTGGCAGAGATACTCTGCCTCGCTTAAATACAATTCACACCCAAGTCAGAACATCACTCTGTGATGTCACTGGTCCTTTTCAAAAATGAAGGATGATGGGCAGCTAGGTGGTGCAATGGATAGAACACTGGCCCTGGCATCAGGAGGACATGAGTTCAAATTCGGCCTCAGACACATAACACTCACTAGCTGTGTGACTGGGCAAGTCACTTAACCCCAATTGCCTCACCAAAAAAAAAAAAGAAGGATGAACAACACAACAACAACAATTGGAGTGGTGTGCCATTTCATTCTCCAGTTCATTTTACAGATGAGGAAACTGAGGCAAATAGGGTTAATTGATGTGCCCAAGGTCACACCGTTAGTAAATGCCTGAGGCCAGACTCATCAGGAGGATGAGTCTTCCTGACTTCAGACCTGGACTCTATCCACTGTGGCACCTAGTTGCCCTATATGTATTTATACTATATGTGTGTGTGTATATATGTATGTTTATAAATATATGTATATGTGCATATATGTGTGTATTTGTTCCTGAAATTATTCCCTCCAAAACTCTCAATGGTCTCTTAATTTTTGAATCTAATGGCCTTTCTCAATCCTCATCCTTCTTAACCTCCCGGCAGCCTTTGATGTGGCTGATCACACTCTAACACTTTTTTCTCTCTAGGTTTTCATGACACTGCTGTCTCATTGAGAAAGGGAATTAATATTCAATAAAATAGACAGTAAAAATCAGGTAAAATTAGGCAGTAAAAATGAATTTACAACTTTATTCCAAATTATATACTACAACAAATTCCAATTGGATCATTGATCTCAGTATACTTTTAAGCCATAAAAGTTTTTTTTTTTTGCAAGAAAAGGGAATAATATATTTATCTCAATTATGGAGAGGAGAGAACTGAAATAATTCACCAGAGACAAAATTTATAGTTTTGATTACAAGTAATATTTCAAAAATTAAAATATATAGATTAAGGGCGTAAATAGTTTTAATACATATACCTGGTATACATGTGACACTTAATCCTAGGTATCTAGGTGGCACAGTAGATAGATTCCAGGACTTGAAATCAGAATTTATTTCAAACCTGGCTTCAGACACTTACTAGCTGTGTGACCTACGGCAAGTCATTTATTCTATACTAAGTGACTTGTATGACTCAGTATTTGCAACTACAAAATGAGAATAATAGCAGTACCTAACTGGTAGGATTATTGTGAGAATTAAATGAGATATTTATAAAGTGTTTAGTAGAGGGCCTGACACATAATAGGTGCTAAATAAATGTTGTTTTCTTCTTTCCTGTGTGAAGCTGATACACAATTACAAATGTAATGCCCTTTTCCCCAGCAGACAGGTGATCAAAAGCCATAAACAGTTTTGGAGAAATCATTAACAACAAGAAATCATTAAAAATTTCTAATGGAAGAATGCTAATAAATACAACTTTAATATAATTTAATATATGACAACAAACATAATTAATATAATGTAATACTATAATCAATTTAATATAATAATATAACTCGTAGACCTAGAGTACAAGGTCTAGGTCTACTAACTAGAAATTTCTAGAGATTAGAGGCCTCTACTAGAGACATCTAGTAAAAAATAAAAGTTTGTTTTGACCTGTTACAAAACTTTCTAAGTAAAACCTCTTTCCTTTGGGGGACAAAAGCAAGGCAAGGACCTTTAGTCACATTACTGAAGCTGTCTCAGTAACAGCTGAGACCTTATCTCTTCAGTAGCTCCTGAATCTGTGTTCTAACATTACATATGATGCTACTCCTGCTGTGTGATTATGACTTCGGCACCCCTTGCTATCCCTATCACAACTAAGGATAGAGGCTGAGGAGCTAGCCAAGCCAATTCAATGAGATTATGAAGGATAAATTATATCATAAGGCAAATCACTGCTGTATGACAGGTGTGGTAGGCTTTTGGAAGAGGACCACACTGTACCTTCTCTTCAGAGGGGCTGAGGATGTTGGAAGAGAGAAAGTGCCATCTTGCATGAGGTGAGCATCTTGTCCTTTTTGTGTAGAAGATCCCTCTTCAAGGGATGCAATTTCTCCATGTCCTTCTGAAGAAGCAAAGACAAAAGTATCTAACGTGTAAAACATGGGACATGTAAGCCAGGGAGGTTAGTAGTTGGAGCAGAGGAGAGAATTGAATGGAAATAGAAAGGAATACACCTTTTTCCCAGTGGTTGGTGGTACCTTTACAAAGATTGACCATATAATATATGGTCTATGTACTGATAGTACATAAAAATGTTATAGTTAAAAGCAGAAAAGCAGAAATGTTTCAAGTATCCTTTTCAGATCATAATGTAATAAAAATTATATTCAATATAGAGCAGAGAAGGGAGAGCATTACAAGTATGTTGGACAGCCAGAGAGAATACTTGGAGCTGACAGAGTGTCATGTTTGTGGAGCAGCCAAGGGGCCAGCGTTACTGGATCAAAGAGCACATATCATGGAGTAAAATATAAGAAGACTGGAAAGATAGGAGGGGGTTAGGTTATGAAGGGCTTTGAAAGCCAAACAGAGAATTTTGTATTTGATACTGGAAGCAATAGGAAGACACTGGAATTTATGGAGTGGTGGAAATGGTGTGTGTGACGTGATTGGGTCTGGGCTTTAGGAAAATCACTTTAGTCATTGAATGAAAGATGAACTGGAGCAGGAAGAGATTTGAGGCAGGCAAACCAACAAGCAAGGTATCGCAATAAACCAGGCATGAGGTGATGAGGGTCTGCACTACAGTGGTGGCACTGTCAGAGAGGAGAAAGGGGCACCTCCACTTCATATTCATAAGGGATGTTATTTAGGTCATACCTGTAGGGTCTCATGGTTTTCCCTACTTTCTTCAATTTTCTGAATTTAGCAATAAGAAGCGCATGATCTGAGCTACAGTCAGCTCCAGGTCTTGTTTTAGCTGACCGTATGGAGCTTCTCCACCTTTGGTACTTCCAGATACCCTAAGGGTCCTTGGGGAATGAGTAGGTCTCCTATCAATTTCTGAACATCTCTACTGCTGTTCTTTTGTCTTCCTTTTAGCATCTAGTTTATGTATTTAAGTAAAAAAAAAGCTTTCTTCCCTTCCCCTTCCTTTTTAGTTTAAAACTCTCTTAATTTAATTAGAAAGATACCAGAAAGAAACATCTTGAGCAGCCATTTTTAGGTACATCTCATTCCTATTTTAAGCTGTAGTCCAGAAATCTGAATCGCATTCTTAGACGGTCTCCTTAACCAGCTGTTCACTTCCTAATTCTGCCTTTCTGTTCTGAATCTCTTGCCATTGATCATCAGCAGTAAGAAAAAGTACTACTTGTGTCCCTAAGATCCTTACTTCTGTCTGTTCTATATTCCAAAATTATCTCTTCCTGTTCTTCACCCATACCACTTCCATTCCCTCAGTTTCCTTTCTCAATGACCTGATAAACTAAGTCATTGAGGTATCAATGAATGAAAAAAAATCACAAAATGACCAATACTATAGAAAATTAAATTAAACTAATTAATTGGGTAGCAAATCTTTTCAGTTCTCTCTCCTGTACTTTAAGAGGGAGAGACTTACTCTGTCTGCTCTTGTGAGTAGACAAAAGAAAGGGCCCTCTGTAGCTGGTGTTGTGGGATAGAGCTGGATCTGGAGTCAGGAAGATCTGAATTCAAATTTGGCCTCAGACATTTACTAGTTGTGTGACTTTTGGCAATTTATTTAAACTCTGCCTTCCTCAGTCTTCTCATCTGTAAAATGAGGATAATGATAGCACCTCCCCGTTTTAGGATTACTGTGGGGATAAAATGAGACAATATTCGCAAAACATTTTGCAAATCTTAAAGTACTATACAAATGCTATTGTTTCTTACAGTTACCTGAAAAAGTTATTCTACTTATTAGAGCTCAATTTATGTAACTTTATATTTATTATCTTTAGATTATTTATTCTACTCTGAGCTTAATTTGTATATCTTAATTTGTATATACCTGATAAAAAGGCAAATAATCTTAGTGACAGATAACACATAATTTGTGAATTTCATTTGTGAATTTCATTTCTTTTTCTAATAGTCCCTGATGGAAGAGAGGGCCCATATGGTGAGGTAAGAAGGAAATACCATCAATAGGGATAGAGAAAATCAAAGATCATGAGATTGGAAGATATCTTAGAATTCATCTAATCCAAACCCTTCATTTTATAAACAAGTAAGCTGAGGTCCAGAGAAGTGAAGCAAAGTCACATAGGTTATCATAAGCAGCAAAGTAGAAACTCAACCTACTTCATAATTTCACCCAAGATTATTTATGTATATGAAGTGGTCATGAAAGCAAACCATTGCTTTCACTTTTCTAGACTAACCACTGTCAGAAAAAAATAGTTATAATAATATTGACTTTGCCAGATTACTACTAGAATATTGTGTTCTCTTTTTTCTTTTTTTAAAAATTTATTTATTTAGTTTTAGTTTTCAACATTCACTTCCATAAGCTTTTGAGTTCCAAATTTTCTCCCCATCCCTCTCCTACTTCCACCCAAAGATGGCATGTAATTTGATATAGGCTGTACATACACATTCATATTAAACTTATTTTCACATTAGTCTTGTTGTAAAGAAGAATTAGAACCAATGGGAGAAACCATGAGAAAGAAGAAACAAAGAAACAGAGAGAGAGAAAGAGAGAGAGCGCAAATAATATGCTTTGATCTGCATTCAGACTCCATAGTTCTTTTTCTGGATGTGGATAGCATTTTCCAGCATGAGTGTTTTGGAGATGTCTTAGATCCTTGCATTGTTAAAAAGAGATAAGTCTATCAAAGTTAGTCATTGCACAATGTGACTGTTATGGTGTATGGCATTCTCCTGGTTCTACTCACTTCACTCAACATCAGTCCATACAAATCTTTCCAGGTTTTTCTGAAGTCTGCCTGCTCATCATTTCTTATAGCACGATAGTATTCCACTACATTCATATACCACAATTTGCTCAACCATTCCCCAATTGATGGGCATCTTCTCAATTTCCAATTCTTTGTCACCACAGAAAGAGGTGCTATAAATATTTTTGTACATGTGAGTCCTTTTCTCATTTTTATGATCTCTGGGATACAGACCTAGAAAGTAGTATTGCTGGGTCAAAGGGTACGCTGTTTTCTCTTCTTGCCATCATATTTTAAAATGGATGTTGACAAACTGGAGACCATCCAAAGGAAGGCAGCCAAGATGGTGAAGGGCCTTGAGATCATGTCAAGATTATAATGTTGATATATGCTTTTCTCTTTTTTATGATCTCCTTGGGATACAGACCTAGTCAGTTACTTCAGATTTTCAAACAAAAGCAATCTCCTTTAAACCTCTGCCATTACTATGGATGAACGAATGTGTCAAAGCAGTTAATTGCCATTTTATAAAGTAGGTCTGATGGCAACATTGAGACAACTTACTGTTAGGAAAATATCATAAAAATACGTCTACTGTAAATGAAATTGCATCCAGTGACATCAGGTCTATGTAGATATTTTAACAGGTTATTCCCCACCCCCAACTGAAAATCAGACGAGGGTGATGAGCAATCCTTTAATTTACCTGCATGATACAGGAGGACTTAGAGATTTTGAAACTGAGACATCAGTCAGGAGTTCCTTTTAATCTATTTTAATAGATTTTTCTTGAGCCCAGTGGGCCATTATTTAATGTCAAATATCCTACCCCAGGCATACTGAAAAATTAATTCCTAAGCAAAGGTAAGGAAAAGATAGAGAGGTCCAGGGGGGAAAATGAGGTATCTAATCATCTCATTGACCCTACTGTGATAGATATTTAAGGGCACTGGTCTTGTAATCAGAGGACCTAAAGCTCCAGTTCTGATGCTTATTAGCTGTGTGACTATGAGCAAATCATTATCCCTCAATTATGGTAATAATAATAATATTATCTACCTCACATTGTTGTGAAGGTCAGAGACAATATATTGCAATAATACTATAAAACATGAAGTCTAACAAAATTTCACATCTTTCTTATTTATTCTGGTCAAATGGAAATAATAACAATGAGCTGACATTTATATTGAGCTTGCAGGTTTGAAAAACATTTTGCATTCATTGTCTTCTTTGAGTCTCAAAACAATCAGGTAAAATAAGCATAATAGGTTTCATCATTCACATGGTATAGATGATAAAACTGAGGTTCAGAGAGACAGTGACTTGCCCGTGGTCATTTTGCTGGTAGTAACATTTGAACTCAGGTCTTATTTGATCCCAGACCAACTCAAAGACACAGAATGAGATAGGTCACAAACAGAGACACACATGAGGACCTAGGTGGGGCGGGGGGAGTGGAAATCAACAAATCCATATACCTTCCCAAGGCAGAAAATCCCACTGCCAAGACAGAGACAGAAAGGAGAAGAATCAGCAGGGAGCTATGATGTAGAGGAGCAAACCAGATCCCTTTTCTGCTACTGTGAGTCACACAGACTGTGTAAATTTCGAGGGAAGGTAGGACCTAACATAGGGGAGCATTATTTAATTTTCCAGCAACTCCAAGTTCTTTCCCCTTGTTGGGAGGCAGGGTGTCAAGCAATCCCCAACATCCCTCCTCCCCAGTCCTCATGCTGCTCTCTCCTGTATTCAGCCCATTCAAAGACTAGAATGAACTTCTCCTCCATCTTTACCTGCGGAATTTTTTTTGCTGCATTAAAGGTCCAGCTAACTCAGGAACTCCCTTTTCCATAAAGTCTTCCTTGATCCCCTCAACTGAAGATTCCTTCTCTTTAAATTTCTCATCATACCTCTCCTTTGTATTTACTACATTCTGCCATATATAGTTTAATGGTCTTATCCCTCTCAGTAGGTTGGAAATTCTTTGAAGATAGAAACTGTCGTCTTTGTATCCTTAGCACCTACCCGATTATAAGCCCTCAATAAATGTTCATTGAATTAAGTTAAATTAATATGATAGGAAATATGCCAGGTGTTCCTGTGTGGCCACTTGTGTGGGTGGTGTTGGATGTAAACTCCACTGAACAAACAAAAGAGATTTTGGCCCTCAATTCTGCAGAACCAAGGAAGACATTCACCTACTATACCTTACCTTGTGCACCTTTATTTGCTAGAATCAACCCCTTCTCCTCTTTCTTCTTTTTCTTCTTCATTTTCAGTCCAAACATTCCTTTTCTGAAAAGACAATAGAACAAACATACCTTGATGTTTGTAGGACCATAGCATTATAGAGTCAGAGTTCAAAGGTTTAAGGAAACTCAGAGGTATTTGCAAACAGCTAGTTTCTTCAGTCAGTTTGAAAAGCCAGTCAATTCATTAGGAAGGAAAAAATAGGCTCCCTTTCTGAGCCTCAATTTTCCTGTCTATAAAAGGGGGAAGCAGGGTTAGATATTCATAGGGTGGATCATAGACCTACAGCTGGAAAGGGAACTTAGAGCTCTCTTCATTTTATAGATGAAAACCCTTCCATTTCCAATAACCTATGGACTTTGTGGCTCTTTAATTAATTAAAATCTGTCCCCACTTGGCATCCCACAGTCTTGGAATCAAGTAGCCTGGCTTGAGTCCTGTCTTTTCACTTAGTAGCTGTGTGACTTTGGCAAATTAGATTCTCTTTGTGCCTCTGACTACTAATCTATAACATGTGTGTGAGATGGGCCTCCCTCACTAGGTTTCTGTATTCATCTAAACGTGAAAGTATATGTAGAGCACTTCTAAAACCTCTAAAATTCTGCAAATGTAAGATAGCATGATCTTCTCCACCATCCCACCATCCCACCATCCCATGCAAAAAAAACAAACCTAACCAAGAAATGGGAAAATTTTCTGTTAATTTTATCTAAGATGTTGCTGCCTTTTCTACAGTTATTTAATTTTCATTCTAGGCTTTGGGGATGGTGTGAACAAAGGCCTAAATACAGGAGAGAGCATCATGAGAACTAGGAGATGGGAAGTGGGGGGAAGGGTGATTGTTGACACTTTACCTCCCAACAAGTAATTGAGTACCCATCCAGTAGATTCTCAAAATACCTGAATGGATTTGCAATCTCAGTCATTAGGGTGGTCCCTCTAAAAATACAGATCATAGCCCATCAATGTCTACTATGCAACCCAAGAAACAAAGCCTAGACAGTAGGATTTTTTTATAAAACTATATGGTTTCAGTCCCCACAAAGGACTGAAATTACCCTTATGGTCATTGAAATTCTATTAATTAAATATTCATTTGGGCTAATGAGAATTATCTTTTAAAATGCAGACAATAAAACCCTAGGAGTTTGGGATTATCAACCATTTATATTTTAGTACCAAACAAATTACATGGATTGCTTTCTTTCCAATATCTAGCTGACATTTGCTGCCATTTTGATCAGGAGAGTAAAGGTAATTTGGGAATAAGACATAATGACAAAAGCTGTTGAAATTCTTCCCTTCCTTTAAGACCTGATTCAGGTGCCACCTTCTCCATGATTTCTTCTGTGAGGTACATAGTTTGAAATGATCTTTCCCTTCTCAGATGTGTGGGTACTACAGTGAGGAGAACAAGTGTTGGGAACCCGAGGGCCCTTGGATGCTGGGCAAAGGGTACTAAAAGGAGAGAGTAAAATGAAAAGGGAGATAAGGAGAAATTGAAGTCAGTTATAATACAGGATATTGTTAAGAAATATTTGTTTTTCCTTGTAAACAAAGGTGGGGAAACACTAGGGAAATGCAGAACCATGACTGTGTTGTAAAGTGTCATTTGGCTTCTGTTTTCCTCCTTTCTATTCTAATTACCAGCACCTGCTGATTCATCTGAGAATAAGGAGAATTTTTTTTGCAGTTTTTCTTACAGTTTTCCAAGCCAAATTGGGATTCTAGATTAATTAAGTACAAAAGCTACTTATTTAACATAACTCTTTAACGGTGAAGAAGAGAAAATAGAAACTGTTTCCATTTCACTAGTCTCTGACCTGGTGCTGGACTCGAAATCCATACATTCCTAGTCTGAATCCTGATTCAAGCACTTACTGGCTGTGTGATTCTGGGCAACTTCTCTCACACCCTCAGTTTCTCCATGTGTAAAATGGGATAATAAAAGCACCTACCTCACAGGACAGTTGGGAAGATTAAATGACATAACATGTGAAAAGTACTTTATAAACTTAAAGCACTAGCTATCATCATCATCATCATTAAAGTGCATTGCATACCAGAAAGGGCCATACAATATTAGTTATTATTAGTGAGTAGGATACTCATCATCAACTAGGCCTACCATGATACCATCTTGCCACACCATTAGACTGAATTTCCAAGGTCAAGAGGCCATTCCTCATCTTCCCTTTACCCTAAAAAAGGTCTTGTATTCACCTTTTCACATCAAACAAGAGCATGGATCACAGCTAGACAGTAGTGGATCTTGGGGGGAAAACTGATTATAGGACAGGCTCTGGCGAACCCCAGAATCACAGGTAAAGCTATTAGCTCGGCCCACATGGGTGGCACACAAAAGAAAGTTCAGGAGTTTAACAACAAGGAGAAATTCAAAGTAGAAACAAGCATCTATTGCTGCTGCTGCTGCTGCTGCTGCTGCTGCTGTTGTTTCTGCTGACAAAAGCAGCAGAGATGCCCTGACAGCTCCTGGAGCAAGCACGGGCAGGAAGAGTCCAAAGGCTCAAAGGAGGATGACATTACCAAAGACGATGAGAATTGCTGTCTTCTGAAAGTCCTGGAAACCCCTCCTGCCGGGCCTTCCCAAAGCCGGCAATGACGGAATTCTAGCTAACTCTGTAGGTGGGAGAGCTTTCAGAAAAGAAGGACCCACCACACCTAACAGCATTTTGGGCAGCATTAGCATGGAAGATAACGTTGAGGGTGACACTGAGTATGTGTGGTGCTGGGTGCACATGTCCCAAATGGAATTCTTTTCTTACCTTCTAAATCCAACTTTCCTCCAATCTTCCCCATATCTCCACATTCCATCATCCACTTAATCATCCAGATTTAGAATCTCAGAATCATTCTCCATTTTATCACACTCACTACCCCTTCTCACTTAATCTGATTCTTGTTGATTCTGCCTCCACTACATCTCGAATCTATTCCCTTCTTTCCACTCTCAAGGCTACCACTTTGTTTTAAGCTCTCATTGTCTCTCACCTGGATTATTTCAGTGGTCTTCTAATTACTTCAGATTTCCCCCTTCTACAGAACATTCTGCAAACAGCTACCAAAATAATCTTCCTAAAACACAAGACTAACCCATAGCTTTCACACATACACATACACACACACACACACACACACACACACACACACACACACACACACACACACACACCCCTCAGTGAGGAAATTTGTTTTGCTCGACTGTATATTTTTTACAAGGAATTTTTTTTTTACTTCTTCCCAGTGAGCATGGGACTGGGAAGGAGAAAAAAGAGGTTTCTATTCATCAAAAAACCAAACGAGCTTTTTCCATTCCAAATACCACAGGTTCCTCTGAGGCCTAGGAAGAAAGATTCAGAAGAAAACAGGTCCAGGAAGTATAATTAAAATGAAAGAATGCTGGATTATGAGTCAGAGGTTCAAAGCTATATCTTGCTATTTACTGACTGTCACTTCTTTATTTCTAATATGAAGATATTGGACGGGATGGTTTCTAAGCTCTAAACCTATGGCCTGCTCTAGGAGGTTTAGTTCCACCATGGTCAGACAAGCGTGATTCTAAAATGATCCAGCCCTTCTGGCTCCACAAGTCCATGAAATGATTGACAAGTGCATCTGAATTTCTCCTCCCAGCCTGCCTTCCATTTCTCTCAACCATGGCTTTACTTACCTTTTCTTTCCACACTCCTAATGATACTTACCGAAGGAAAACAAATAAATAACTCCTCTCCATCCTTAAGAATTTGCCCCTTTTTGGACATTTGGGAAGGAGAGGAGAGAAGAGAGAAGAAATTGAGGGGCAGAGGGATTGTTATTCCTAGCTGTCTTTAGTTAGCTCTTAGCAAGCTTTTGTTCTGTCCTATACCTCTATTAGCATTCCCTGTCAAGAGCAAGCAGGCATCTCTAGGCCCTGTTTTATGACAGCCATCCAATAAATCGGGGCTGAAGTTCAGACATTCTGTTTTATTAGCAATTTGTATGTCCGTTTCACCCCTCTATCACTGGGAGAGTCAGCTCTCACCACAGCCATCCTCCCTGAGGGCTCCTTCCCAGGATTATAGAATCAACAGAGCCCATAATGACAAATCAAAAGGAAAGTTTGAGAGAATGTTCCCTGTGGAGAAAAAACCCTCCAGCTCAGCTTCGGGGGCTGGTTTAATCACAGCTGTCTGGTTCTTCTTCTGTTAGATAACAGCACTGAAGAAACAAGCAGTATTACTAGGGCTCATTCCTCCCCTGCCTGACCTTCCTGGGGAAACTAAGTGTTTCAGTCTTCCTGTCAAAAGTTTACCAGCTACATATCTGGTTTCAGAATGGTCTCCCTCCTCACCCGCACCTCCAAGGCACCTAACACCTTTCAAGGTACAGCTCAGGTGCACCTGCTGTGGGTGAGAAGCCTTTTCTGCTACTCTGAATTGTGAATGTGCTCTTCCCCATCCTCAGATGACTGATTGTATACTTCTCTGATATATGTACAGCTAGAGCATCGACGAGTAACAAAGGATAAAGTGTTAGACTTGGGAGTGAGGAAAACCTGAGTCTGAATCCTACCTCAGACATTTGCTAGCTATGTGACCCTGGGCAAGTCATTGAACTTACATCTATTTAACTACATACATTTAGCTAACAGCATTTAGCCCCAGTTTCCTCATATGTAAAATAGAAATAATCATGATCGATAGCACTATCCTACTTGAATGATTTGCAAATCTTAAAGCATTATATAAATGCTAGCTATTTTGTTCCCCTAGTATGGATGTAAGCTTCTCTAAGGCAAGGACTGTTTTTCCTATTGTCTCTGTAACAGCACTGTGTGTGTGTGTGTGTGTGTGTGTGTGTGTGTGTGTGTTTGGGAAGGAGGTTTGTTTTTTAGTCCTTGGACCTGTGATTTCTTCAGTGAGGAGAATTTCCTGGTATGAAAAATTCCTCCACCCACACAGCTCAGCCAGCATCGAAAGGTTAAATATCTTGCCCAGTGTCACACAGCTAGTATAAGTTTAAGAGGAAGGATTTAAACCCAACTT